AATATTCTTATTTATTATTTTTTTTAAAATCTGTTCCATCTTTTTGTTTCTTCTGCAAACTCAGCAGATGTTTTATCCTCGATAAACTTTCCTCCGCTGTCATTAGAAACATTGAAATTACACATTGAATCAACTTCAATAAAATATCCTCAAGTCGATCAATCTCAATATGAAAAGTAAGCAATAATTCTGAGATCAAATTATTGCTAACTATATTGTTTACGGAGTAATAGTTTATTATTTTATTTACTGAAATGTTCATGATAGAGGGATAAATATAAGAATTACATTTCATGAATAATACGGTCTATTTCCGTATAAATTAACTTACATTTTCAGTAAGGGTATTCTATATTTTAGCTTAATAACTACACTGGGATTTGCAGCATTTTACTACTTATTCATATATAAAAATGTATTTGGCTTATAATAATTTTTTTATTCGTTTACGTTCCCAGTGGAACATAAGGCTTCAAGATAGAGCTTTGAAGTTTCGATAGAACTGGTGTTTACTTTTACAGGGTGGGGTTCCTAGCCTCATGTCTAACCTTCCCTCTTTATCGATCTTACTACCAGCTTAGCCAGGCATTAGAGTGTACAGGCCGGGGATCGAACTCTAGAACACACGCATTGTTGTTTAGCACATCTTTTAGTGATCGTTACTCACTGAATTCCCGTTTTTAATACAAAAGGTCTACACTTTTACTTGTATTCTGTATAATTTTTACATCTGAGGGAACACTATCGTGTTTCTAAACTGGTGGGAGAATATACTGGAAGCTGATCGAAGGATTCAGTCAACATGTTGTTAAGTAATTATACTACATGAGTTTTTGTAGGGACTTTGATTGATTCCAGTGTAGATTACATCACGAATTGATATCAGTCCACTACTCCATATTTTTCAATGATCTCTCCAACTGATGCTGTTTTGTGATGAAATCGGCATTGTAATTACACTTTACTTGCAGAATAAAACATGATCTATTCACCTATTATGTTGTCTAAACTGAATAACATTCAGATAGATTTCATCTACTGCAATAAAGCTATTAGAATACAGTTATTTCGGAGTCAAATATCCAGTGATTCACTTCCATCGTTTGAAAGTACTTCTTGAGAAGTCAAGTCCACAACGTCCACTGATACGAAAGTGGAATTATTGATCTAATTATTCAGTCATTAATAGTTAGGATTATAAATATTTATCCAGTAAACACTTTTAACCGAATCTCGTAAGCTAAGTATGGTCAAACAAATCAATTTAGGTTACATCTGGATGCTTTCACAGGTGCAAATTCTCAAGTATTTAACTCACCAATACTCTTATTCTTTCATGTTTGGAATAAGCATGCTAGTGAATTTTGATAATCAGATCAGTTTAATCGTTCATTTCAGAGGATAACGAGACCATCTACTTTTCCAATGAAATATTCAATTCGACTAGATGCATTTTAAAGTCTGAAGTACCATAATTAATTTCGATCTAAGCTGACTGTCTAAAGCATGTTCATGAAAATCCAACAGTTAAGAAAGTCGGTAACGAACAAACGTGTGGTAGAGTCTCCTTTCAACTTTTTTTATCTGTAACTTTTCAAATGGAAAACAAATGAAACCGTCTAAATTACTTAAATCTTATAATATTAAGAAATTGTCGTGTTGGCTTGAAGGGATTTGATTGGTTACAGGTTTGATCACGAGTTGACATCAGTTAGAGAGTCATTGGAAACCCTTCAGGGAGTACTGGACAGCTGTTTCGTCCTAGTTTTGAACTCCTCATCAGCAAATACCCACTGAGGTTCGAACCTAGGACCATTCAGCCACTGGGGCCTAATCCAATGGCCCATAAATCCCAACTGCTATCAATTCGCGACATATACATTGCAACTGCTTGATAAGAGCTTATTACTTCTCTCGACTAGCCTATTAATGACGACAAGGCAAAATATAAAACATGTGTGAGTAACTGGATGTTCTGTAAATAACATTTGATTGGTCTACACCATTTTCGTCAATCTAGTGATGCTTTACCTGAAGTTACAGAAACACCTTGATTTAAAGGTGTAATTGTGTTTTGACACTTTACGAACTAAGAGATACTCTAAGCTTTTTCAGAGGAAAAAATAATGTTTATTATTACATTAAATTACAATATGGCCTAGAACTGTTTTGGAGACAGATTGTAATTTATCAGTAAGATAACGAAATACTGCCTTGTAGAATTTGATGTTACTTTAAGGAACTCTTCAAGTTATGTATTATATGTTCTTGAAATCAGATGCCTATACTCCTCGTGTTAATATGAGTATCCAGTAATTTACATGCAGTTATATGAATATGGATTATTTAAAAAGAAATCTTCAAGTGAAATCTTAGTTGATCTTTGTTTGATTAACTCTGAAATTTTAAGAACAACAAACTGAGCTAAGAAATACATTCCTTTTCATTTCAGGGATATATTTCTTCGCTCAGTCTGTTGTTAAGTAACTAACTATCCTATAAAATTCATTAGGAAGACAAGAAAAGGTTAAAAGTAAAATGAAAATAATGGTGAAACCAATAATAATAACATAAATAAGAAAGAATATAAGGCATCTACAGTGTTACCATACAAAGAGGGGATATCTGAGACCCTACGTAGGATTCTTAATAAAGGAGGAATTAGGGTGGCATTAAAACATACAAACTAACTCAGGGACAAGCTCTGTAGGCTAAACGACCCGGTGGAACCAATTAAACAAAATAAAATAATTTACAAAATACCTTGCAATGACTGTGAGTGAGGTCAACTACATAGGTCAAACTAGAAGATCAGGAGTAGTTAGATTATCAGGACATAAGAATTTAGCTAAGATTAGAATGATTGACCCCACGAAGATAAGTAATTTAGAAAAAAGCTTAGTAATGGCACTGCATGCATTAACATACAATCACACAGCAGAGAGTGGGAGAGGGTTAACATTCTAAAAATTAATACAGGTGGGTGGAGAGAAGTCGATTGCCGAATCTCTGATCATAGAAACTACACCCAACACATGCAATAGTAATGACTCATCACTCATACCAGAAATACGGCAAATATTTTTTTCTAAATTCCTTCACGTTCCCATTGGAACATAGGGCTTCCAGATAGAGCTTTGAAGTTTCAGTAGCACTGGTGTTTATTTTTACAGGTTGGGGTTGTTAGCCTCATACCCAACCTTTCCTCTTTACCGCTATTATTAACGTCATCAGTAAATATTACTGTTAAACAATAGAATTCAGAAATTCAAATTACAGGTAGAGTATTGTCATGGTAAAACTGTCAGAATTTTTGACTTCAGTTACTTTTAACAAGCTTCAAAGCTTTTTGTGAAAGTTTTGTGGTCTTCTGATATTTATTTAGCAAACATCTCCCCAGTAATATACACTCCGTAAACGAAACAGAACAGGTTGACAGTCAAACACCAACAATCAGTCCAACTTTATCTTTGCATCAATTGGTTTTTGATGACAATACATCTTCAGACTGTCGGCCAAGCGATGAACAGAAACTTCAGTCATGTGATGTAAGAAGTAATACACCTGACCCACATTCTGTCCTATCATCACTTGCTACATCGCCAAGAACAATTCTAGCTGAAAAGCACGGTGAGTTCGGCTCAGAAGGTGGCATTTTAGAAATACCCGAACATAAAGTCTGTCTTAGAATACCTGCTGGAGCTATTTCAAAAGAAGAAGAAATGCAAAAGATATTTCTCCGGGTGAGTATCTAATATTGCTTGTATTTTATACCTATCAGTTTTTATTCTAAAAAATAAACAATATCAAGTCTGCATGGTCGTATGTTTTATTTAGTGACTGTATCATTATAAGGTTCCCTATTAGCTTCAGTAATCCTTATTTTTTGAAATCACTAACTTCAGCAAGTAGTACCAAAGAGTTCACGCATGTATTTATGACATGTTCTTTGCACATAACATCCGGTAGGTCTAATATAACTCATTTACATATTGCATTTCTGCAAAGACTTATTAATGTATGAAAATGTTAGTCAGAATCTGGTGAAAAGAAAGCCTGACAGAGTGCTAAGACTATGCAGTTTTATTGTTATTACTGTTGTTTAAATTCCCCAGACATTAGCAACTGGTCCACTTTTGTTTACTATTTACTATCTATTGTTGTTGCTTTGAGTTCCAAGTGGAATTTAGGGCCTCAGCAACACATTTCCATTTTGTTCTGTTTGGTGCTGTCCTTTATAGCTGGGTCCACGAATGACCATAATTTTTCATCTCCTCCTCCAACTTACACGATCCCCTCCTTGTCACCCTAGCACCGATGACCCACTCGTCGCTTCTTATTGGGATTCCACTAGAGCAACGGCCCGCATTGAGTGCGCTGTCATTCGATGGCCTCCTCAACTTATGCTCAATCTATCTCCATTTTCTCCTACATATTTGCTGAGCGATCGGCTCTTGGTTGGTTTGTTCCCAGCCAGAGTTTCTTGTTACTAATTCTTTCTCGCCGGCCGGCCATTTGATCTTCAGTATGGAGCCGGAGAAGGCAGTTATTAATAAGAGTCTGTAACTTGTTGGAAGTGCTTTCCATGATGCGCACGCCAAGTTTCTGACCCATATGGAAGCACTTACTGTTATACCTGCTACTAAACTGACTGAGAACTGTAGTCACTTTGTTATGTCTGCGCCTGCCTAATATACCTTCCGTTTCACTGAGCCACGCAAATATCAAAAGACAAACGCTGGCCTGTGACTGTATGTTGCAATCACAACAACAACAACAACATTAGGAAAACAACACATGCTATTTATACATTTTCTTTACAACAATAAAGTTGACCTCACAGCCGTGAGAAATGATTGATCGCATAATTAATCACAACATTCGTGAGAGATGATATATACTACTTTATGCAGGATCCTATCACTAACTGGCGTCACATTCGTGTTGAAAATCTGAATGCTGCTCTTTATGCTGAGTGAGGAAATCAGAAGAGTTCCAAACTGATTTCAGATTGATGAAGGTGTATCTTGACTTTCCGATTCTGGCCGACTTTGACATCTTCATCCGTTCCGCCTGTAGTTGAAACCGTGCTTCCTAGATAAGTGAAGGAAGTGACCTCTTTCAAATTTATCCCGTTGATTTTGGTTGGTGCAGATTGTTGCTGTTGTTGGTTGCTTATCTTCATCACCTCCATTTTCTCTATGTTCACCAGGAGTCCTGTCTTCGCTGATTCTTCAGCTAGTTTGTTGGTGCAAGATTCCAGTTTGTGTAACACTAAACATAAATCATCCGTGAAATCGAGATCTTCTAGAATCTTCTTATCGGTTTACTGTAGCGGTGATATGTCAAATTTCAAAGTGTAGATAAATAAAGCATAGATAAATCTTTGAAAAGGTCAGAATTTCAGTTTTCTGCTAAAAATAATTTCTAGTTATGGGGGGGGGAGTATAGCACATTTCACCACTAAATAATCATAAAAACTGAGAAGTTGAAATTTATTTTTACTGAGAGGACAGTAACATCTGGAAAACTATGTCATCAAAATGATTCATTTTTATTCTTTCGTATTCTTGTTCTGGGCTTCCAATATTTAGATGAACACTTTAGTTTCTAATGTAACTGTTTCTGATTACTTTGTGAATAAGTGAATTCGTATTATTCCTCTTATTTGTTTCTACAACTAATGAATTAAAAATTCTGTAGAGTCTTTTGTTTATATTTGATGTTTGATTACAGCTTGATTCCACACCGTATTTTTCGGTACAGGTATGGAATTTTCAGCATGCGATATCGGTAGCCCAAATTTTGCAGGCCGACCATAGATATCAGGTGTGCGTCGGCAGGGGATCGAACCCCGGACCATGTGCATGATCGACGAGAGTCCTAACCACTGTGCCACCGACGCACGCACACTTTCAATACATGCTTTTTCCATGCTAAGTTATCAGCATCATACAAAAGTGACCGTGACAAAAACTGCTTCCTTCTAGAGCTGATAAGGTTTTACGTTTCTGCTTCCTTTTCTAGAACTTTTTACAGGAAACTAGTAGCAAACTGGTGACTAATAGTGGAATCCAGGATGCACATTTCACTCAATTTCGGACTCGTCATCTCGGTGTACTTGCGTTCCACAGCGAGTGATGATGTTCCCCCCCCCCGGTGAGGCTCGAACCCAGTACCCATAGTTACGAATGCCAAAGAGTTATCCACTAGACCCTAGTTGGGCCATGAGAGCCACCTCTTTAGCAACGGGTATCAATAATTATTCCATTCGGCGGGAACGCTATCACTCACTGGGGAATGCAGGTACATCCAGCTTCAGATAGAATAGAGTGGGCATCCTGGACTCCACTGCTAGCCACCATTCACAAATTTACTACAAGTTAATGAATCAGACATCGCTGAAGTGTCTGTACAAGAAGCCAACTTGTCAACGTGAGGCCAAGCACTTTGGTCCAGTCAGTCAATGCAAAAGTCCAAAATGAATTAAATTAAGGAACTGTTAGCATTTAAGGAGAAACAAAATAATTTCTTACTAATTTAAAAATGGGGAATTTTGGTGGTATTGCTAGTATATAATGACGTAACCTGCAATGGGATTATTATAAGATCAAAATTTATCTACATATAACTGTCGGGTGGGTTGGTTAACGTTTACTTAACAGTGTGCCTTACAGCTGAACTCAAAAGGCCGTACTGCGTTACACAGATTCCTAAGTATATTACAAATCTTCCGTATGTTTCTGTGTGTAGTATAATAGTACGCATTACATTTAGTATATATCTGATACTCGTTACCTGCGTCTACAGGCTTGTATCATGTTTTCTAATCTAATTACATATTCAAAACTCAAGACTTTGGTGTAATTTGGATGTCAAATGAATCACAGCAATTTCTTCTTTCATTTCCTGTCTATTTGAATAACAAATATTTGCTGATTTCATAACTAATATGGCCGCGAATGAAAACAAGCATAATTCATTAAACTTTCATGCCATTAGTAACCTGTTGCATGTAAAAGAAATTCATCCATAAATTATTCGGTGTCATAAAAAGAAAAGTGTCTTTAAGTCAGCATAGTGTCAGAGGAGAAAATGAATAAACCGTTACTGATGTGTGTGTTTACTGTTTAACCAGTCATCACACTTGTATGTAATTTGTTGATATCACTGGATTTTTCAAACCTCAGTAGTTGCAACGGGATTCGAACCCTTCGCCCAGTGCATGAAATTTGCCAGTCTTAACTGACAAAACAGACAAGTGTTACATTTTGCAGTGAACACTACATGAACAAATCTGCAAAAATTTTCCGGTGTTATTTCAGCAAAGGTAGTTCATCGTGGACGTTTCATCACCAGGCTTTGTGATATCTCCAGGACTAACTTCATCAATGAAGATATAGCCTGGTGAAGAAGCTTCTAATATCAAATGTCAGTGCTAAGGGAACATCAAGCAGTTTCCTCGCTTTAGAACTTAGAACAGAACTGTATCCATATTTTATATGTTAAAAAGAATGAAAACATTTAATTTTCCATAGAAACGAGTTTAAATAAAACAAAATAGGCAGCACTCGATTTGTATGAGTTTAAGTGTTTATAAAACGATTTGATGAATTTGTAATCTTGTTAGGGAAAATTAAAAACAAAATGACATACATGCCAAAGCGTGTATATTTCGACTTCTATGACTCTTGTTAATGTCAGCCCTTTTCCTCATAAAAGTTTCTAATGAAAATCAGAGATTTTATGGACGAATATGTTTTTAGTCTTGTTGATTACGACTTAGATAGTTTTAATTTTCAAATGCATGCAATACAACACATTCATGGTATAATTTGCAAATGTAACGACATTCCCCATGACTTTTTGTTGCACCTGTTTTATTGGATGTCAGGTACATTTAACTTTTCATCTTATTGGTGTTGCATTTCTTTAAACAGAACGATTCAGTATTGAAATTCCTATTGAGGTCCCAAACCATATAGTTAGTTCAGATTTCTGTGATAATCTACTAAGTTACCGAAAGAAAATGTCATTGCTATTAGATTTTACGAAGAAGCGGGACATTAAAAATTCACAAATTCAATGATTTAAACTATATTCATCATCAGACATTTGCTCAGATATTAACTAAACAGCTTACAGTAAAATATACCCAACAACCGTTTATTAAAGTTTTCATCATATTAAACCTAAAGAATAAACTGATATCATTTATTAAGTTGATCCTCAACACACTTTACAACTGTCTCTCTTTAGGTTTATGATAGTGCAAATGAGCTACCTTTGGATGATTTACACTCAGAATCTCGTCTGTGCACAGATAAACCTGTACTGGTAAGTCCAATGGTTATGTGCGGTCCTCGTGGTCTAAAATTTCACAAACCAGTAGAATTAACCGTTCCACGTTATCCATTGGATTCTGAATCGAGTGATGAATCAGAAACAAAGCGTGATCAGCATTTAGAAAAGTGGAATTTATCCTTGTTACATGCTTCCGCCATTTCTACATCAACATCTGCTGACGAAGATTCTCTACCTAGGACTTCACGTTCAACTGAGCCAACAAAATGGCATGAAATTCCATTGAATACCAAAAGTGAATCATCTTTAAAAAAGAATAAACTCAGTCTTGAAGAACAAAGGAGTAGAAATGATCAAGGAATACTTTCTATTATTAAAGATTCACAAATTTCAATCCTTATTGATCATTTCTAAACTTTATTCCTTTTACCATTTTATATCACCCAACAAGATGTAATTGGTAATAACAGGTGAACACATTAGTAGGAAAATTTTTCTTTTTGGATTTTCTGTGTTATTTAATTATCTCATAATTTTGTAAAATAATTCGCCTACTTATTTGTATGTATTTCCTGTGCAACATGAATTTATGTTACTCTTCTTTTTTCTACTGTTTAAAACATGATTTTATCTCATTTTTATTATAAACTGAAAGTTAATGATAAAATATATCTCAAAGAATCATCCTTGTAACCTTCTTGAAACTACACTCTTTCGAAGCATAATTGTTTGCCTTAGAAACCTTTGATTAAGTGAGAAAGTTTTCACTTTAATTCTTTAAAGCCGCTTAAGTATCCTGAAATGCTAAGTAGTCAGAGTGGTAATTAATGTGAGGAGTAATTATTTGTGTCAAAAAAGCTTCACAAGTTTAATTCATCTCTTAAGTATAAAACATCTGGAGGATATATCCTTAATCTAAGTCTGACTGTGGCGTGTTCTACTGACAAGATTTATCATTAGTATATATATATATATATATATATATATATATATAAAATCATCAAGTAGCAGGGGGATAGATTTGATGTCAAAGAAAACAAATGATACAGAGTTGCAGAGATACATGGGAGACGTGAAAGGAACACAGAAAATCAATATGAAGGCCAGAAGTAGCACAACACGGAAGACCCGTGCAAATGGTGCGTTAAAGATAAGGTGTATGTAATTTGGCTATATGCGTACGTGTCACTTTACCGTAGGCCACACCGAGCATTTACTGGGTGGCACCTACTGACCACCCACCTGTGGAGCAGAGCACAACCAGCTACCACTCAGCACCATCACATGGATACAGGACTTGGGTTTTAACCAAATCACCATAGCTGGAGATTTCAATGCTCTATCCCTGAACCTTGGCTCGGGGTATGCTAAGGGAAAATTCGGTCTAAATCTACTACAAGCCAATAGAAATACAGGACTGATTGAGAACGCTAGAGACGACATTAGATAAAGCTCAAGTAGAAAGTCATCGAAACTAGATTATATTTTAACTAGTGACCAACTACTCGTTGAAAAGGTCCAGATCATGACTCCTCTAGGGAGTAGTGACCAAGCAGTCATAGGATTCGATCTTGTTCTCTGTGAGCACTTGCAGCGGGACGTTACACGAACATGTCTGTGTTATAACAAGGCGGACTATGCTGAAATGTGGAGGCTTTTGTCCGCCTCACAATGACCCTTAGCATGGTATGAGTTATCTGTGGATGAACACCAGGAAGTGGTAAAAGAGATTATTTACACAGCAATCTCGGATACCGTCCATTTGGTCACAACACAGCCGAAGAAAAGTTCCTCATGACTGAAGAGAGGTACGCAACGCATTCTGCAAGCAAAGCGGAAGGCTTGCTCTACGTGGCGAATATCCAAGAATCAGACAGACCACAATGCATACTTGGAACTCAGGAACCGGCGCAACGTGGGAGTCAGGAGTGATAGGAGGTCATTTCAAGCTAACGTTACATAAGAATTCTACAGACAACTACAGGCGACAACGGACAATACTCCAGCTGGTGACATTAAAATACTAACGGGAGACATGAACTCCAAACTGGGATCAGACAACACAGGAAAGGAACTCATCATGGGTAGAGAAGCTCTGGGAGAAATGAATGAAAATGGAGAACTCTTCACCGACTTCTGCGCCTTCAATGAACTAATGATTGGTGGCAGCGTATACAAACACAAGGATATCCACAAGGCTTCATGGGTGTCACCAGATGGGCGAACCAAAAACCAAATCGACTTCATCTCAATCTCAAGAAGTGGAGGCGCAGCCTGCTGGACACAAAAGTAAGAAGAGGAACAGACGTTGGCTCAGACCACTATCTCGTACAAGGGACAATCCAAATCAAATTAAAAGCTTTTAAAGAAACAGGAGCTGCAGATAGACCACAAGCCAAGTTCAATACTCAGAAACTGAAGGACCAGGACACAAAGGACATCTTCACTGCAAGCATAAAGGACAAAGCCGAGACACAAATCAACACTAGCGAAGAGGTCAGCGTCGAAGAGCACTGGAACAACTTGAAAACAGTGTCGAGTCAAACCTGCGTGGAAGTTCTAGGCAGAAAGAAGAGACAGAACAAACAGTGGCTCACTGCGGGTACTTGGAGACTGATAGAAGAGAGAAGGATGGTGAAACATAAGATTCTCCAGTGCACCGATGAGCAACAAAAACAGGATTTGAATGCAAACTACAAAACACTGGACAAAATAGTACAGAATAGTGCCAGAGAAGACAAAAGAAAGTATTATGAAGCCATGGCAAGTGAAGCAGAACAAGCTGCAGGCAAAGGAGACCTCGCAACACTCTACCAAACTACTAGGTACCTATCGGGCAAACGTTTGACACAAATCAAGCCAGTGAAGTATGACAATGGAAAGTCAATCACCGAAGAATTGGAGCAAGGGAAACACTTGGCTGAACGCTTCAAAAGACTCCTAAATCGACCACCACCTACAAAGCGATCAACAATACCAACAATGGAAGCAGAATTACCAGTGGACATCAACCACCTGACGAGAACAGAAGTCCTGAAGGCAATCAAGATGCTAAAAGCTGGAAAAGCAGCAGGACCAGATGGAATCCCAGCAGAAGCACTGAAAATGGACCCAGAGACAACAGTGGACTTGATGACGCCACTACTGAAGAAGGTGTGGAAAGAAGGCAAATTACCCGAGGATTGGAAGAAAGGATACTTATTCAAACTACTAAAGAAAGGAGACTTGAGTCAATGCAAGAACTGGCGCGGAATTATGCTGTCCATCCCAAGCAACATACTAAGCCGCATCATTGTGAAGAGAATCAAACATGCCCTGGATGAAAAACTTCGACCGGAACAGGCTGGATTCAGGAGAAACAAGTCATGTATTGACCAGATCGCCACATTACGGATCATCATTGAACAAAGCCTGGAATGGCAGTCACCTCTCTATCTCAACTTCATCGACTTTGAAAAGGCCTTCGACAGCGTCGATCGAGAGGTGATTTGGAAACTACTTCGCTACTACGGGGTGCCACCGACAATAATACATCTCATCCAACAGCTGTACGACAATGCTGCATGCCAAGTAATCCACAACGGGAAACTTACGGGATCCTTCGAGGTGAGGACAGGAGTAAGACAAGCTGGCTGCCTACTATCGCCAATGATATTCCTGATTGCATTAGATTGGATAATGCGACAAACAGCAGGTAATGAGGAAACAGGCATGAAATGGACTCAACCAAAACCCTGGAGGATCTGAACTTCGCCGATGATATTTGTCTGATTTCCCACAAACTGGAAGATATGCAAGTGAAAAGCAACAAGTTGGCAGAAGAAGCATCAAAGATAGGACTTCAGGTGAACATAGAGAAGACAGAGGTGATGAAGATTCCTGACTTGGAGGGGGGTCATGTGAAGAGGAGATGAAAACGTGTGGGCAGACATGCAGCCCGGTGAAGACTCTAGCAGAGAACTAAACGCAGTGGAGACGCACGGCTGAAGCCCTATGTTCTTCTAGGAATAGAAGGATACAATAATAATATATAATAATAACAAGCTAACGTTACTAATATACTCTTGGCAAACCCCAAAAGCCTATAACACCTCATGTCGGAGAGGAAACCAGCCAACCAGGGGACATGCGCCTTAGTGGGTCCAAACGGTCGATATCTCATTAGTCTGGAGATGGCTGAAACATTCAGTTTAGCCTTCGTCAAACAGTTAAACAGCAATGTGGGTATTACAGGTACGGACCAAAATGGCGGCACTACTACTTCACCGGAGGAAAACCTAGTGGCTTCTCCCCAAATAATCCCGGCAATAGTACTGAGGAAGCTACAGAGACTCACACGTGAGAAGTCCCCAGGCCATCTGTTCTGAAACAGTGCGTCGAAGCTCACTGTTGGCCTTCATGCGACTTTTCCCAACACTCGATGGATTCAGGGAAACTGACAAGGGAGTTGAAAAGAACCATCTTTTCTCCGATTTTCAAGGGTGGGGATAGGTAAAATTCTACTAGTTACAGACCAGTAGCACTACTCCTAGGGTATCAGAATTACTGGAAACTATTACTGATGATCACAGCAGGGAGCAACTCGATGGTACTAACAGACTCCATGAAATCCAACATGGCTTCAGGAAGGGCAGGTCCTATGTAACAAACATGCTGTCAGCTTGTGACGACTGGAAATCATACTGCGATACGAATTTTCCAGTTAGTGTAGTTTTCCTAGTCTTTGAGAAGGCATCTGACACAGTTCATCATGACATTCTTCTACACAAATAAGTCAGGTAGCTTAAGGTGAGCCGCTCCTGTCATGTTTGAAGGCCTACCTAGCTGAATGGAAATTCTGCACTAAAGTCACTCGAGTCCGATTATCTTGGCACGACTCGTCATCAGGAGTGTTGCAGGGTTCTATCCTAGGACCACTGATGTTTTTGATTTTAGTCAATGACCCACCATGCCGTCTAAGCTGCCTGACTCTTCCATACGCTGACGACGTAAAGATCTGGAGAGCAATCAAGTGTTCGGAAGATTCAGATAGGCTGCAAGCATATCTAAAGCTTCTGGAAGACTGGACTATGGTCAGTGATACGAATTTCAACCTGAAAAAGTGCAAAGTAGTGAAATTACACACCCATAGGCTGCAGAATGCAAGTTACACCCTGTGCAACGAAAGCATATCCTGCACAACGTTGGGGCGTGACTTAGGTCTAGTACTAACGGAAAAAATGGGCACAAGCGTAAATTATACAGAGGATGTAGCGAGGCCATATATGATCATACACTTTACACATAGACAGGTGCACTCACTCCTGAGCTCTTTCTCAAGTTGTACAAAACAAGCGTCAGACTACACCTTGAAGTGCATAATATTATTGTTCTCCCACTGCTTAGAAAAGACGCCAACCTCTTCGAAAGAGTCCAAAGACGGGCGATAAAAGGAGTGGCTGGTCTCCGAAATAAACTGTGATGAAAGGCTAAAGAAATTAGGCCTACTCACACTTAGCTACCATCGGCTTAGGGAGGGTTTGATTACTGCCTACACGATAACAAATGACCAGAATCACCCAAACAAAGGTGTTCTGCCATTGAATAGGTATGTGCTTCCTCGTGGGAATCCCAGAAGGATAGCTCACCACCGGGTGCGCTCCCACTTCTTTTCACCGCGGGTTTGCCGTTCCTGGAATTCCTTACCGGCAGATGTAGCTATGGTACCGTCTGTGGAGAGCTTTAAGCGAAGGCTGGAAAATCATGCAGCGACACAACGACAGTGTCTAAACGGTTTATCCCCTTAAAATCCCACACACCATTAATGGGTGGACATCTAAACTAATCGTTTTACTTCTTTACATCCTCTCCTCTCTTAGTCTCCTGACTACTACAACTACTACACTTACATTTATCATTATTATTGCTGATATTATATACATATATAAATATATATAAGCTTCAAATTTAATTAGCCCTCTGCTTCTACGTTTTCTTTATTTCTTTTTCTGTCTTTTAGTCTGAATAATCTACACTAATTATATCTGTTATTATCCCTATCTCTTTTGTTTTGGTGGCGACACCGGAAGACTAACTGGTGAAAGGATAATCTCCAGTTTTAACACACTGCATACTACAAACAACATATAATTAATCCCAGCACCGCTTTTTTTGGAGTCAACTGAAGCTGCAACAGTCGAGTGGGGGACGGAATACGCAGAAGTTTACTGAAGACCAGGAATCTTTACCTCACAATCAGGAAGCAAGCTCAAAGAAATGAAACTGGTTTACTCTAGCTCGTATAAACGATACTGGATATTGAATAGAAATACCAAAGTGCAAATAAACATTCCTTTACTAAGTCTTTTATCTTCTACTGTTACAGTTGGTATCACGACCTCCAGATAATAAAGGTCCCTTGGCCGGCACATACGAAGCTTCTTCCGAGACTTTGAAGCCATCACTGAATTGGTGAGCGTCAATGATCCGATGGAGAATGTGGCCGTGCTGGAGGCGCTGCTAAGAGGTCGAGCAAACCAACATACTTTCGATTTGCTTCCTGGATGTATGAAGATAGCAGAAAAATAATTCCAGTTTTCTGAAACGTTTTTGATAACTGATTATTACACTTACAACGAAAATAGTTGACAAAGTGATGATCAAAAGCACTTACGTCTGGAGTCGTATATAACGTGGTCATTAGTAGAATTAAAGACACATAGTTTTCTATTTTCCGGACGCCTCTTTAGCCATAAATCACTCAAAAACAAATGCTCAACTTAACAGTAAGAGGCAATTACATTTACAAGCATTAAGTGATTAAACTTAATCGACCTTCTCAGAATTCTCATACGGGTAAATGCAGTGTTTATTGAAACGTTTCGTTATGTTTAACTGGGGTGCACAATATGTCGCGCAATAGCTGGACACATAAAACAGACGCATTTTTATAACCTAATCTCTAGTTTTTCAGACATGTACTACTTAAATACCGAATGTAGTTTCTAGTCAAGATGTGAGATCTGTTAGCGTGTGAATACTGATGAATAATATGTACGATTTATAATACGTCTGTCTGGCTATTAGTAAGAAAACCATGTTGCACACTGTGATGAAAGCATTTGACACATAGTGAAATGTAACTGCAGTAACTTAACTCTTACGTATACAGTTACAACTGCATGCCTCACTGGAGCAATTTAAACATCTTCCAATGTCGAAACTGAAACAATTTTCGGTAGCCTAACACTCAGAGGATACTGATACCATGAATTGTAATGATATAGGTACAATCGACCGTCTATCCAGAACTAAAAAAGAGAGTCTGCCAATCTAATTAGTGATCAGATAACTGGACTAAAAATGTAACTTAACGGAGAGAAAACGTTTACATCGGATCTTCCCAATAGAGAATCGAAATGAGGCAAAGGAAGTATGTTCAGACTCAGTGACATCTAATATTATCAATTATCGGTCAGTTGGCTTGTCGTATATATTTGAAAGTTTTCGTCAGACCTTAGTCTCACTGGCGAAAGGCGCTGAGATAACAAGATGTCCACAAATTCCACACTGCAGCTGAAAGGCATCGACAGGTAGTTACTGATTAGAAAGCGAAATGGGACAAAGATTTATCGTCAGATCTGAAGGATATCTCCTTTGTGATTTTTAGGTTTCGGTCAACTTCACGTTATGTGACTATTTCTGCAGTCCATCGCAACTTAAGTGGCAAAATTATTGATTTACTTCGTGCCAACTCCAACTTCCAACAGGTACCGTACCCATGAGGCACATGCAGTTTTAGAGTCCAAAAGTGATACAAAAGCTAAATGTAAACGATGTTGTGGTTATCATTTATTTGGAAGTCGGAGCAAGCTTCAGAAAAAATATCTCAATGACTGACTTAGGGAGACGTTTTCTGAGCATATCTGAAGCCTGACTGCCTCTGAATTCCAAATACATGAAGACGGTTTTTTTTTGGACTAAGTCAATTACCACTTTGGCTAGCCTATCTTCCATGCTTTTGCCATTAAATTGGTTTAAGTAACGGTTTTCTGCGAGCGTATCTTTCGGGAAGAAAAGTCCTGAGTCAACGCAATCAGACTACAAATTTTCTCATGGTAAAGGAGAACGAATGAATTTAGTTCTTTCTCCTGGAAATAGGAGCTCAAATTTCACTAAAAATTAATTAATGTCCATTCCATGTATGTTTTCGGTGGACTGACCACTTGAGAGGCATATGTCAAGAAGAGGAATGCTTAGTCGACCTTCGTTTTCTATAGTAAATTGTAAATAAGGATGGCAGTTGTTGAATGCACAGTGCGTCGGTCGCACAGTGGTTAGGACTCTCACCGACCATGCACATGGTCCGGGGTTCGATCCCCTACCGAAACACCCCTGGTATCTATGGTCGGCCTTCAAAATTTTGGCTACCGATATCAAATGCTAAAATTTCCATACCTGTACCAAAAGAATACGGTGTGGAATCCAGCTGTAATAAAAAAAGAGATATCATCAAGCAATACGTCTTTATCACAGGTGCCAAAAGTGTCGCCCACGCTTTTTCTTTCCATATCACAGTCATCGCAGTTACTATTACTGTGTGATTAAATTAGACTTTAGGTAATGACTAATTAGTAGGAGGACTAACTGCAGTCACAGCATAACCAAGGTCTACTGGGCCTGCACCTCACAGAGATGAGAGTTAAAATTTTAGGTTCCACTTTCTATATCTAGCTACCTTATCATCTCCACAAATTGATGACTTGTAACTCAAATCGGTTTGAAATACTTTGTGCTATTATATTGAATATTGAAGATGTAGTGGTAAATTTAGTCCCTCAAGGTCGTCTGGTAATTTTCGTCGTGTTTCTCACATTCATGATACAGACTTTCTGTAAAAACGTTTTGGTGTCTTGCAAAATCAAAATTAAGTGTGTCTGTCAAAACTCTTCAGTTTTCTGACACATAGATAGATTCTGGTGCAGGCCGTCTTCCATTGTATCATATCCTCTGTGATCAGAAGTGTGTTTAGCCTCTGTTTTGTTTCCTGAGTTTGAGTGTGTTTCTAAGTTACATGTTTTTAGTTTATTTTCTAGTTTCTTTGTATATTAAGCAGCTTGGTCACTCAATAATTAGATGCTGAAGCTGAGTATTAATCCCGATTCACGTGGCTGCTGTAGTTTTACTTTGCTGTCATTCTCAACTTATTTAACCCACAATTTTTCTTTTCACTGTACTAAGTCTGTACTGGCTGTTGTTTTAAAGCCAACGTTGGGTCGTTTTTCATCTCATGAAATTACAATGACTGTTAAATATGCAATATCGGCATGTTAAAAGTAGACTTGGTTTGACATTACAAAAAGCTGGTTATGAATTGGTCTTTCCCTGTTGCGTATCCGTTTGTTTGCCTGTAACTTTCTAGTCGAGTTTCGGTTGATATTGGCCATCTTTTCTCTTGGTCTGTATTCTGTCACCTAAATCCTGTAAATATGATCGGTACTAACAATACTGAATTATATTCAGCTGTCGTTGTTTTATATTGTTAACTTAAGCTGTAAAATCAATATCACACCGGTTCATGTGGTCATTCAGATCCGGTTATCGTTAGCTACAAATGGATTTTAAGCCGTAAAACTAACAGTTTATTCGAAAACATAACTTTTGTTAGGTGTGAGATTGGTATCTGAAACAACATGCAATGACTGATTTTTCAAACAAATGCTTGACCTTTATTTCATGTGCTTTCAAAGTTGCTATGATCTTTCTCATTAATGCTATAGCAGAATTTAAGTATTACTATGACTGATATATGGGCACATGTAAACTGATAATTTTGTGTGCATTTGTATCACTGTCGTATTTTTGTTTCGAAGTAGGTTTATTAGTTGTTATTGATGTCTTGTGTGTTGAACTTGCTGCGAGGATGAACACGTAATGCCGAACGTTTCATGATAACATGCTTAATCCAGCTAGCTGTATACAAAAGGTATAAGTATACGACGTACTTTCAACACTTGCCTAGTTCTACTGATCGATCTAAACTAAAAGCACTCAGGTAATTATCAACTAGCTTTCTTCATAAAAGCAACACCTTTTTCTTAGGACCAGTGGTATTTATTTTCAAAAGCTCAAAAAAGTGTCTTGCTAGCAAAGTTGTATAACCTCATTTCAATAACTGATCAAAGTTAGTTGAATAACTACTCTTTATTTTTCGTAGAACTCTATAACAAAAGATATGGTTTTCTTGAAGTAAATAAGAATGTTCGAAGCTCAAATATATGGTTAGAATTATCGTTCAAAATTCGGGTCTTGTCATGTTGATTGACTGGAACATCTCCCTATGGTATCCAAGTATAGTCCCACTGATATTATGCGTAACTCAATAGGCGGTAGAATATTAGTGATCATCGAAAGAACCTGCGGTGATGTTGAGTAATTTCCTATTTTTAAAGTTCCACCGTTGAAATGGAATTCCCCTCCCTTAAAATAACATATAGTGGCTAGTTTCCTCTTATTCCTATCTTAAAATGAGAAGCCAGCATTGTTTTGAATTTCCGTTGCACATTGATAGACATCCATATAAAATTTAGCAGTGCTGTTTAATGGTTGTAATCGTCATACTTCATATCGGCGCATCACGTAGAAGGAATAGGAATGAAGACGAGTAACCACTAAGGGAAGGTCACGTGTAGTTTTTATATTTCATCTAATGCAAAGCTGTTAAACCCAAGGTGGTTTCAATTATTCATCAAACAAAGTATGTTTCAGTCTTCTTTGTCTTACCGGAAATATTTGGTACTGAAAAAATTATTCTGTTTGACTAAAGCTCCATAACAGTTGTTTTTTTAAATCGTGAGAGCAACTCTGTAACCTATAACAGACTGTCACTCTCATACTTTTGACGTTTTCTTCGTCTTAGTGTACTTTTTAGCTTTCTGTTTTGCAGATTGTATTCTTCTGATCGGAAATTCACCACACAGTTAGAAACTAAATACTGAACATAGTCAAGTCTTTCACCTAGTCAACATGAAACTTTTCCTGCACAATATACTAACTTCACGTGTGCTAAAGGCTGTGAAAGTGGGATACCCCTTGAAACTCAAAGTAATTCAACTTGATTCTGTATAATTTTTCCAGGCAAAGGAAATAAAAGTATCTACAGTCGACTATGATCCATCGTCGGTTGCACGCTTGATTCCGAAAGTTGAGTGGTCTGTTGTAAAATCAGTAGCAGATGAAGTAAGACGATTATTACTTTTTTTTACCCTTTAGTAGATTGGTGAAGATTATATTCCCTGTTTGCCTGAAGAAGTTCCTTCTAACTACTCAGAGAACGAGGAATTCTTGAAATTGGCTCACAAAGCGCTACTTGAAGTTGACATCATGGAGGGTGTATTGGTCTGCCCAGAAACTGGTCGTGAATTCACTATTTCACATGGGATCCCAAATATGTTGGTTAATGAGGGTGAATGAATTTCTGTATCGCTTCGTCCTGTAAATTTTACCTGTATAATAAACGAGATTTAATCTAAGTGTTTTTTGTGCACTTAATATTGTGAAGTTATGGCTCAGGAGTCAATAACCAATTTTTGGTCACTTTTTTCAAAAGAAACTGATTAATACTAATCGACTTTGTATTATAGGTGTGAATCACAGACCAATTTATTCACCTTTATGGTTGGGTGTAATACTAGTCAATATCTATGGTATTTATGTAGTTTGAGAGAGGAAACACTTATTTCTGAGGATTTTTCCCCAAAGATGTATAATTGCGTGAACCTTATTTCAGTAAGCATTGAAGAAGTTAAGAAGCCATCTCCTACTGGAATCGCTCTCGGTGATTGACTGTCTTTAAAATATTTCGAATAGACTGAGAGTACTTTTGAAAGCTAATAAGTAAAAACCGTATTTCAGAGATATTTAGTGTGATATGATAACTTGAACCAGGCCTCCATGACAAACTTAACAATTCAGTGGCATCATTTTGATTACTTAAGAGAATCGAATTGATTTTTTCAGAACTTATAAAATCGAAAACACACTCAGTCAATTTATTTTAAGATGGATTCAGTTGCAGTTGATGATTATTCCTAGCATTATAGTGAAAAGCAGTTGTATAAAAACGCAATAAGGAAGAATAGATTGGTGAACAGTTGTTAAACACCATACAGAGGAAATAAAGAAGTGTGGGAATCTACCTTGGGTCCCACAGTTTTAACAACTGAAGATGTATCATAGCCACATGCATTTCTTGGTATTATTCCCGTCGGTAGTTTCCTTTGCCTTATAGCTTAACATTTTAAGATTCCTTCAGTGCTATTTTCTCATTTTAAACCAGACTTCAAGACATCCATGCTGCACATTTACGATATGATCACAAGCATTAGATAGTCAATTTCACAAGTGCTGACTTTATTAGGTTATGTGAATCCTCAGTTTTTCTCATGCTTTGCAGTCTAGGAATAGTTTATGCTATATAGTCAGTTTGAATTTAAGACAAGCAAATCCAATGAGTCTCATATTGATCATTTTCGTATGCCTGAAATATTCTTCCCACCAGGCTCTAAAGACGGATCAGTGGGAGTACAGGATATCTGGAAGTAAGCACAACAACAGTGTATTATAGTGGTAATTAAAGTCAGTTCGGCAAAACGTCACTCGATTCGTATTGTTTGCTAGGAAGACAAAAATTTGTGACATGGAGGCGATGTCAGTTAGGAAAAAGTACAAATCTTGTTATAAAAACCGGTCAATTGGACATTTTTTATGAGTTGCTCAGTCAACATATAGCCATATGGCATTTAGTGGGTGTATTATCTTGGTCTGAGTACTTTAGTTGTAGGTATTCATCTGCTACTTCCAACCACTTCTACGGTTTATCCCTTGTTAGTAAAAGTTATGATAACCAGAGATTGGTATAAAGTTTATGATTAGGGTGTTACTTGCAGACAGTTTTTATCAGTAGAAAATGGTTGAACCTCAGGAATTCTGACAGAGAAGCTTTGTATAGCTGGAAGCTGCGTGAGTTTTTTTCTGCAGCCTTGCAGATGATATTCCCTAATTAAGCTTGTCCGTATCTTATAAATTCATGTTTCTCTCCCCAAGAGTGGTTACAATTCTGGGTGGTAGTAACTAGCATCAAATGAGTTACTAAGTTATCAAGACTCCTAAATTTGCTTTATTCGTCATCTAAACAGGTTAGAGTAGTGTGTTTTCATCAATGATATTGATACTCATTACCTTTGGTGCATTTATGTGCATATTTTATTTTGTATTCAAGCTTAGTATGTGAGTGGTCGCAACTTTTCGCCATATTATTTGTATTTGCTTACGCACAAGTTAACCCCACACAAAAGAATACAACAATATGTAAAAAGAGAGAATTATATGTCGGAGATGACAACTGCCAGGTAGGTGTCTTCATTCTAGGTAGCGTTTGTCATTTTAATAACTTCTGACAGTAAAAGAAACAAAGTAGCTGATAATGTTTTGAACAACTAAGCTGCTTGGTCTCTTACACTCCTCTCAAGCCTTCGTGATGCATCAAGAAAACTATATTTCATACAATGGTGGCACATTAAGTTTAAATACACTATTTATTTATTTATTTATTTAAACGCATTAGAACTTGGTACAATATGGCACCAAGAAGGATGCGCCACACAATAATAATAAAACAACATAGATGAAAAAAAGGAAGGAAGGCAGGAAAAGAAAAAATATATATATAAGTAGAGAACGAATAAAGAACTTCATCTGGAAGGAAAACACTCATTCTTAACAGGTTCAAACAGTGTTCGTTAACTATCATCGGGAATGGAAGAAAGAAGGAAATCGCAACACATTCGCCAATGATTACGATTCTTGGCCATATCCGATGACGTTTCGAGCCATTGATTTGAGTTATCTCTCTGACCCCAACCAGGGAGTCGTGAGACACCGACCGATGCTAATCTAGCACAGAAATCCTTCATCCCACGACGCCACGTCATGGGCTGACCACTTCTCCGCCTTTTCCATCCCGTCCCAGGACTAGCGAACAGAGACCTGTACGGAAGCCTCTGGGGTGACATTCGCAGCACATGTCCGAGCCACCGGAGCCGGTGTTTCCAGATGACGACATTCAATGAATGGTGATCTCCACTGTGTTCAAACACACGCCGCCGAACCTCAGAATTACTCACGCGATGATGCCATCGAACGCAAGCAATCCTGCGGAGACAGCGGTGATCGAACACGCAGAGTCGCCTCACATCCTCAGCTCGGAGAGGCCAGGTTTCACAGGCGTAGAGCAGCGCAGCCCGCACCGAAGCATTGTATACCCGACCTTTGACAGCCAGGCTAACGTCGCGACGGCGCCAGAGGTGGCTCAAGTTGATGTATGCCACCCTAGCTTTCATTATACGGTTGGAAATCTCATCCGTCACCCCTCCGCCAGCACTCACACAACTACCTAGGTACACAAACTTATCGACAACTTCAAGTGGTTCACCCGCAAGAGTGAGTGCAGGTACAGGCTCCTGCCAATCTTGTAACAGTACTTTGCACTTAGATGGTGCAAAGCACATACCATACTTACAGACACTGATCGCCAACTGATTAAGTGCGATTTGGGCAGCCTGCATGCCATCGCACAGTAAGACGATATCGTCTGCATACTCGAGGTCGAAAAGTCTATCTCCAGGTAGCAGATCTACACCACCTTCACGCACATCCTTCAGAGCTGACTCCAGAATGTCGTCGATGGCAAAGTTAAAGAGAAATGGCGAGATTGGGCAACCCTGTCTAACCCCACTGTTGGTTGGGAACAGTGGTGATAGTTGGTTGTATGCCCTCACTCTACCTGAGGTGTTTCTGTATAGGGCTTTCAAGATGTTAACAAATTTCTCAGGTACACCTTTCTCTAACAGACAGTTTCAGAGCACAGTTCTGTCCAACGAATCGAAGGCAGCCCTAATATCAAGAAACACAACGATCGTTGGATTGCAATACGTGTGGCGGTGTTCCAACAACTGACGAAGGGTGAACACATGATCAATGCATCCACGACCTGAACGAAACCCAGCCTGCTCTTCGCGAATCAATCCTTCACGTATTTTGCACAGTCTGCGAAGCATGACAGCAGCCAATATTTTAGACGCAACTGGTAACAGACTGATACCCCTATGGTTGTCACACGAATTACGTCGACCCTTTTTAAAGATGGGGACGATAATGGCTTCGTTCCACATTGATGGTACGCTCTCTGTCTCCCACACCCTCCTGAACAACCCAGTTAGAGCCATTATGAGAGTCTCGCCACCATCTTTAAAAAGAGCCGGGGGTAATTTGTCTGGGCCGGGCGCCTTATGGCGTTTCAGAACTTGGAGTTCCTTACGGACCTCCGCTTCGGTGGGTGGGTCGGTACTAACCGACCAAGGAGCACTCGGGCTAGTGATAGTAGACAATGAAGCTGGTGGCCAGCTGAACTGCTTCCCGAAGTGCTCTGCCCAGCGTTCCAGGCGTCTCTTCAGGCTGGTAATTGGAGTGCCATCTGCCTCATAGACCGTCTCGCTGACACCTTGTTTCTTGCTGCCGGTGGCTCGTATGAGTTGGAACAGCTTCCGACTGTTGCCAGATGCAGCAGCTGACTCCATCTCATACGTACGTTCTGACCGCCAGGCTTCGCGGTCCTTACGTAAACACTGTCTAATCTTGTGCGTGAGCGCCTTTCGCTGATTGTTGTATTCACTGCCAGCCGGAATGGACCGGCGTTCATCCATGAGTTGCAAGGAACTTGCAGAAACCCAGTGGTTGTTAGCGGAGCATTCTTTCAAGCCGCAAGCGGCTACACTCGCCTTTTGCATGGCACCTTGCACATGAAGCCAGTGTTCATCTATACTACTTGGGGGGTTGCTGGCAAGCATTGTTTTCAACTCATTCTGATATTTCAAAGAAGTAGCAGGTGCTACTAGTTTGCTCACATCAACGTTTAGACGACGGTTTTTACGAACCCCACCAAATCGCAAGACGAACTTGGCACACACTAACGCATGATCGGATTCCAGGCATGTGCTCCAGAAGGAGCGACAGTCTTGTATGCATCCTCGCCACCGGCAACTGACCGCAATATGATCAATCTGAGTCCAAGCTTGCTTCGCAGAGGGAGGACGCCATGTAGCGCTACGACGATGGCTGTGCCGGAAGTTGGTGCTGGCTAGAAATAGGTTGTGATCCGCGCAAAGCTGCAGAAGACGGTCCCCATTATCTGACCTGCGACCATGTAGTCCCTACTGACCACCTAGACGACTCTCCTCTGAGCTTAGACGCCCGACCTGTGCATTCAAGTCCCCAGCTAGCACTACGATATCCCTCCGACCCGCCTGTTTCAACAGATCGCTCAGTTGGTAGTAAAACTCATCCTTCATTGCATCCGTGCTGCAATCCGTCGGTGCATAGGCAGAGACAACAAATAGACACCGCCTATCTGGCCTACTACTCCTTACTTTCGTATATCCTTCCAGCCTCACAGCACATAAACGACTGTTAATGGGAATCCAGTCGAGCAGTGCAGCTTCGGCTCTAGCGCTCGGTGCGACACCGACACCAGCTACGCCGGATGCCGATGCCACAGGGTCCCCGGATAAGCGCAGGTGGTACATACTACTAGAACTTCCAGATGGAGAGGATAGTCGAAGCACTTCACTGGGATCTTGAATGCGGGTCTCCAAAATGCAGCAGACATCGATAGCGAGGCTTTCCAAAGTTCTTGCCAACCCTGCCTGTTGTCCGATTTGCATCAGCGTCCGAACATTGTAGGTAGCCAGCTTGAACGCAGCACGCGGTTTCAGGATACCTGTGTTAGAAGTCGCATTGGGAACAACCATTTTGAGGACTACTCACTAACATCTCGAAACGACACGGATAGGCTGGGAATCTCGACAAAGGCGAAAGGCTGTCGAAGGTTAAGAAGCCAAGGTTAGCAAAGGTAAAATACAGGAAACTATGTGTAAAAATAAAAGTAAGATAGGAAGGAAATAAGTTGCTTGAGGGATCAATATTGCTTGGAATCATTTTTCACTAGTTCGCGTTGAGTTTCAATGAGAGTTCGTTGCTTCAATTCATTCATTGTGTGCGGGCTGAGATACTGCCCGGGCGCCCAGACCGAAGCAGGTTGTTTTATTAAGGGACCACCCCCCGAGCCTTTGACTTGGAGTCTAATCCGCAAGGCAGCGGAGCAGCGTCAGGAGCTGCATTCCCATGGTTGCCGGTGACCCATATGGGTTCATACGCCATTCAATCCAATTGGATTCTGGAGCCCATGTACCCCATGGTAACTGCTTTTAGTCTAACCGCTATCCAAACAACCTTCCTGGCATGGTAGGACCTGCAGGGACATGAGTCCCAGCCAGTTTAGCTTGTTGGGTCACTGCGGCATTCAAGCCCGACCACCACGGCAAGGTAGCAGTTATCGGCCGGGTTTAAATACACTTCCGCTTCCTAGAAGTTCTATGACTAGCGAATGGTATAAAAACTGTTAGGAGGGCATTTACAACACGTAAAAGCCACCAAAACTGATGATCCAAGGTGAATTTTTTCTGACGAATGATACCCACTTTGTACAAGCATTCATCTTTTGTTCACAGAATTGTTTCATTGGTTATTCCACTTGTCACAAACCATCTTACAGAGACAGTAGTAATCAATCTCAGAGATTCACTGGATGTCGCCTCTTAGGATAGGGCAGGTTTCAGTAGCCTGAAATAAGACTTGTACCAAAGCATTTTATACCTTAGCCCTACCTGATGCGTGACGTGCCGGTGTATAACTCCGGCTTTTGGTTTACAGCCTGAAATCTTATCATCTCTAACATTAACACAGCTACCGAAATCTACATGCTGCTTCCATAGGGTCGACTGCAGACCCAAGCTCCTATCAAACCTACAGAAATATTTGCCTTCCGACAGTGCCAAGCAAATGTCCCACAGGCACTAGTCGCCAAATAATCGAGTACGTTTTGGATAACCTGCTCAATATGTTCTTGCCTTGTTCAAACCTGTCCTACAGTAAGATGTCGTCTGCTTATTCAGACTTGAATGATCTTTCTCTGGGTAGCCGAAATCCATTGCTCACCTCCATCAAAACTGTTTTCTGCATGTCCTACATGAAAAAGCTAAAGATAAGTGATCAAAATTCTCCGAGTCTTCCTAACGCCACCTTTGGTCCCTACAGCATATGCAGTGTGGATGTACCCCTTCATTCTGCTTCAAGTTCTTTTGTTCACAGTTTTCAAGATTTTGAATTTCTTATGCTCCAACAGTGAGATATTTCCGTCCAGAGAGTCAAGATTACGTCCTTTGTGGAAAACGACAGAGATTATTGACCTTGAATAATTGTGCAGAAATTCTAGTAACTGATGGAATATTAATACGCGAAAGATGCTTGCAAGACCTCAAATAAACGTATTTTTACAGTATAACAGGGGCCAATACTTTTGATAGTATTGATAGAAAACTAATGCTCTGATGATTATCCTATGCATTTTTAATTTTTTGTACCTTTTCAAACAATCTAGTCACTTCCTTAATTAAAGTTTCGCTTCTAACCTATAAAATCGCTGGAAGTAATTCGTCCTGGTTGAATGTCCTCTTACAGTTTGATAATTGGGATTCTTTTTGAACTTTCGCTTCATCAGATGTATCAGTGTTAACTAACGGCCGGGCTCTGTAATTCAGAGTAGAGGACATTTGTACTGGAGATCAATTTACTTGATTTGATAATTCCCTGATAAGCATTCCAAGCGTCAGTGAAGATTGTTGATTGGCATAAAGACCATCTCACTGACACCAGTCATTTTGTTATCATTGGGTTGGGTGAGCTGGAGTAGCTCACCGCTGTTGTCATATATAGTTGGGGCTTTCAACTCAGTTCCACCCGCTGTAATTATCGTGTAATTATACATGTTAGAGTTTTTTACGATGAGATAGGAGACACACGTACACTTCTTCATTCTATTTCCCTTTGTTTCATAGTATTTTTTTTTATTCACCTTAAGTTTTGATGAAAACAACTACAATTGACCAATGTTTCTTTAGAATAAGCTGTTTCATAAATAGATCGGCGTCTCATTTTAACGGAATATATATATAATAACCACTGCTGTGAGGTCTGCGATAAACTCATTTCAAGCAACTGATTGTATTTACCATATCCGTTGATAAGTCAGTGTGGCAAATGTTACTTCCGAAGATCTCCTTCCTCCACGGGCAATGTTAGCTGACATAGGGTCAGACTGGAAAAGAGCTAGCGGCGGTCAAACCAAAACATGGCACCAGTCAATGAAATCCACAACAGTTAGTTTAAGCCACTTAGGAAGGTGTAGACTTCCTGGTTGGGGTCCTCAGGACGGTAAAAATCAATGGCTGGTGACAATTGGTGATATGGCTCAAAATCGCTGTCAATGGCGCAGATGCATCCACTCCTTGTGACTTATGATTTCCAATGAAACTATATTGTTCTTCGTTATTACTATTTCTTTGTATCACATCTCTGTTTACTGTCTCTATTTTGCATCTCTTTTTACTTTCTCCTCTTGCTTTGTGTGCTACATGTGGGGAGTGTGGCGACTTGAACTGCTGCACATATGTGCAAAGTTCTATGTCGAAAACAGAGAGACAGACTTCCAAAGATAATTGCATCACCTGACTTCACCCAATCAGCAGTTCTTACTAATCTAGTCTTGTGCATGAAATTCACCCTTAAATGTTCCAGATATGCGTTTAGCTCGAAATGCCAATTGGTTCAATAACTGAAACTTGAATAACCCCCCTTAGTTACTACTGCGTGTAACCAAATTCTGTACACTGAATTCAGACATAATCTCATTCAGTTCAACTGGTTACATGACCTCTGAGATATAGAGAAAGTTTCGTATCGTGATATCGTTCGCTGCGACCATCCTCCTCTTGAAGATCAGTATTAGCCGTAAGTATTCAAGGAAAAACAAATTTCTGTACAATCTTTGTTTTTCTTCTTTATGTGAACACTATTGTAAAGAGACAAAAAATACATAGAATGTGAGATGTGTGTATCAACAAAATAAATTCGGGGGGAATCAAACAGCATCCACATAGATGAGTAAGGTTATTTATATACATAAGTTTGCGGTTCCACTTGTATTTAAATTAGGTTTCACATCGAACCGGTCAGTTTTTCGTTTGCTTGCAAAGCTGATAAACAGGATACTTCAAGAAATAGTATGAATATGTTGACAGTGTTAAATTGGCTTAGAATTTCGAAAACATCTTCCTCCGTTTGAATTTTTTATGAACTGTTTGATGTGTTGAATGATTAGTAAAATACTTTGTTTAGAAGTGGGCAATTTACTACTTATATTTGTTGAGTAGTCGAAGTTGAACATAACAAAGTATGTAAAAAATGACCATTATAACAACTTGTCCAAATACATTATACCATAAATCCCATGTAGTTTTGTAAGGAATCTCTTGATCCTCCAAGTATGTTGTACCGTTTTGACTGTATGCAAAGCAAGATAACGAAAAGATGATCTGATGACGTAACAGTGTAGATTAAAAGAAGTTAATTCTTAAAGCAAACAAAGTAGTCAACTTCAATATTTTGTCCAGAAATTTCTAGTTTCACTTATATTTAGGCATTTACATTACAACAAGCTACCAGTTATGAGCTCATATATTGCATAAGTTGAATTTTATTCTCCTCACAGTACTTTCAAGATCAATAACAAGGGCTTGATCAAACTGCTTCCAGGCATTCCACTATAACAACTTAAGATCCAATGCTTACCCGATTTAATTTTTGCATCTGATTGAATTTGCAGTGTAGATTTAGATATTAAATGTATCTGAATCCTTATAAAACTCTATTCATTGATAATCGTGATGACCTTAGAACACGTTAATCTCATCTATGGAGTAGAACACATGCGAATTGTTAGGTTGCATCTTAATGACATTTTCCAGCTTCTTTCAGCAAGCATTGAGCCAAATTTATTATGTTTGAAGACAGTACCACTTCTTGGTCATGTTAACCTCGGTATATACCTTGGTGTTCGAGCCTCGTCACCAAATGATTGGAATTTGGTATCTTTGTCCGGTGACCTACAGCTTCATATCAAGCATAAATCCCAGCATGGAATGTAACCGTCCCACTGATTAATTTTGTCTGAGTATGTTAGCCAGTCGCCTCAAATCAATACAATCAAATCAAAATGTTTTGTACACTATATGAACATTTTTTTTCATTACTTTGTGTTCCTAGCGGAAAAAAGAGCTTCAAATTTGAACTGTGAAGTTCCAGTGGCGATGGTGTTGTTTCTATAGGGTAGGATCGCTAGCCTTCTACACAACTATTTCTTCTTTACTGGACTTACTACCGGCTGTGTGTCGATCGGGATTCGAGCCCCAGACCAAGTGCATTGACTAGCGCACAAAATAAGGTCTCAAAAACTAGTATTCCCAGCCAGTCACTCACGCAATTACTAATCGGGTCCAACGTTGTTCATCGAACGAGAGCCAGTGTTTTCAAAGTAGTATTGTGGTGACAGCTGTCTGCTAGCCAAAATTGGTAGACAGCAATTTGCGTCAATGTTTACGTCCTAAGTCTTGGTCATGAGAAAAAAAACAAGAACAAAGACTAACTCGACAACCAATCACACCAGATTTAGCGTGGGCAGATACGATTAGCAGATATATCAACGGACAGTCTAAGAAACGGCAACAAAGAGATGACAGGATAACCTTCAGCAGGAAAACAACCAATCAGAAGACATCGCTTCTCTGCTAACAGTAACGAATAAAAATATACATAAAATCTATAAATATCTGTTGATTTTCTCAATAAATGATCTGTCGCCTGACCCTTGTCTTCATATATATTTTGGAAGCAGAAATACCTTTTGTTATAAACCCATTGTTTTTTAAAGGAACTTGTCTGTGAAGGGGCTTTTAGTTGTCTAACTCACTTCCCTCATATTTTTTCTTGACATTAAAATCTCAGTTGTCCTTTCATTCTTATCTAATGACTTGTTTGTTCACTTATTCTGATTCTTTCAGAAGTGTTCAAAGACAAGTGAAAGTACGTGCAGTGATTTTATAAGTTGTTATTTGAACTATTGTCAGTTGTATTTGTCAAACCGATTTCTAGACAGCCAAGTGATACATGAACTGATTTTCCATCGAACGCCTCATTTTACTGTTTTCTACAGATACTCTGAGTGCGTCGGTGGTATAGCGGTTAGGACGCTCGCCGACCATGAACATGGTCTGGGGTTCGACCCCCGGCTGACGCACTCCTTTACCTCGCTAAGCCAGTAATAAGACTGCCAAAGAAGGAAGGTTGGGCATGAGGCTAGCAATCTCATCCTGTAAAAATAAAGACCACTGCTACCGAAACTTCAAGCCTCCAGCTTGAAGCCCTATATTCCACTGGGGAACGTGAAGGAAAGAAAAAAACAACAGATACTCTGATATCTTTCATTAATCTACGTCTAGATGTTCATGTATCCAGGTATTATAAAACCTCAGCTGAAGTAGACATTGTATAATAATGCGTGTAAGGCATCTGATCGTTGGATTTAACAATTTCACAAGACGTAAGATGATGTAAGGAATTCGTTTCAAAACAGACTTTATCGACTGAACTCTCCTAAACAGTTGAAGAAATAGTATCTTATCTACACAGTATGTTTTGTTAAGTACATATGAATATAAGACTAGTGTCACTTGCCCACGTTATTTATCACTTGGTCAAAAGTAATTCGAAAGATTGTAGTCAGTTCACTAACGAATTGACTGTGTACTATCGCCGGTGGCGCAGAGGTAGAATGCTCGTCAGCCACTTAAGTGGTCCGGAGTTCGACCCCCGGTCGACGCACTCCCAAACTTCGCTTAGCTGGTAATAATCCCGGCAAAGAGGGAAGGTTGGGCATGAGGCTAGCAATCACACCCCGTAAAAATAAACACCACTGCTACCAAAACTTCAAATCTCTATCTTGAAGCCTTATTCTCCACTGGGAACGTAAAGGAATACATAAAAAAAATTCTGAATTATTGTAAAAGAAACTGTACCATTGTCTCTGAATTGTTGTATTTGATGTATCCATAGGACAGAATCTAAGTGGAGTCATCTCCATGGCCAATAAACCTCCCATACTGTAACGAAATAATGAAAAATAACGGAGCCAACTAAGCCAAACTGCCATAGATTTCAAGTTGATTAGGTAACCAGAAAAGGCCTAGAATAAAATGAGAAAAGGAAATTAAATCTGGAATAATCGACATTAACAATATTGATGTTTTTAAGTACTATCGATTTGTTAAGATCAATGAAGTTACACTTCAAGAAAGATGCATAAATTATAATAAGCATAAAAATGTGATAGTAAATAGAATATCACATAAAATTAAGGAAATTTCTACAACAAATTAAGGATCACTAAAACGTTGACTGATTGCCAAGGTAAGGACACTGTCTGAACCAACTTCTTTTGGATACATAGATTAGGCTTCTTAATGTACATTCCAACAGCCTGAGCAATATGTAGTAGACGAACTCTTAAGGTACAGCTAAGATTAGTTGGTGTGCGGTAGATGACTTTGAAAGCCTCGTTAACATCAATTTTGTGTTCTGTATCCAGGAGATGAGATAGAATAGAGCTATGAATGGACTTTGTTTCTCTCTTACTTAACTACACAGAATGGTGTTCAGAAATCCGACGATTAACACGTCTAATTGTCTGGCCTATGTAACTGGCTCACTCCACAGGAGCAGTCAAATTGGTAGATACACATAGAAGAGGCGAAATTAAGCACTTTACCTTTAAAAGCCCGAACGCGAAATAGGAATGGCTTTTTAGACACAGCATACTTCAGCAGCACTGAATGTTCTTTTCACCGCATTCCGTAGGCGTTGTATTAATATCTCACTGATGTTATTCCCGAGAAATTGAAGTTGTAAGAACAGGGCCTTTTTTGGAATTGTTGGTATTTGGCCTGCCTTGACTTTTGATTCATATTCTTATCTATGAGTTTTCCTGGGTAACCGTTCTCACTCGGAAACTATTTACTAATATTAACCTCTTCAATAAGACATTCATCAGAGCGAATTGTTCTTGCTCTGTGGACCGAGTACTTTATTAGATTGCGTTTGTATTTCAAAGGCACGTAGCTGAGAAAGTGAGTATACTGACCAGTTGATGTAGGTTTTCTATATACACTTCGTATTGTACCATCCTCTTTTCTGGTCATAAGGACGTCTAGAAATGAAATACTAGAGTCTTTTTCTTTCTCAATAGTAAAATTTATTACAAGATGAACATCGTTAAATTTGTCAACAAGGATATTCTTAGCTTCATCCTCATTTTTCATGATCAAAAATGTATCATCCATTTGCCGACAGTAGAACAACATCACTTGATTAAAAGTAGGCTAAATAGAGGTCATTCAAACAAGTAGATCAGATAGACATCGGCTTGGTGTCAAAAATATAAACCTCACTGAACTTTCTAAAATTTACTGTCCCTAAATCATATAGGGTGCATCGGTGGCACAGCAGTTATGACGCTCGCCGACTGTGCACATGATCCGGGGTTCGATCCCCTCCCGACGCCCTCCTTTATCACTCTAAGCCAGAAATAAAGCTGGTAAAGATGAAAGGTTGGGCATTATTATTTTTTGATTACAGCTTGATTTCACAGTACTTTTTGGTAGAAGTATGGAATTCTCAGAATGTGAAATCGGTAGCCCAAATTTTGCAGGCCGACCATTGATATCAGATGTGCGTCGGCAAAAGATTGAACCCCGGACCATATGCATGGTCGGCAAGAGTCCTAACCACTGTGCCACCGACGCACATGAGGCTAGCAACCCCATCCTGTAAAAATAAACACTGCTAAGGAAACTTCAAGCCTCTAGCTTGAAGCCCTATTTTTCACTGGGAACGTGAAGGAATAAAAAATCATCTAGGACAAACGATCTGTAATTTTCTAATACAGATCAGCACATCTTAGATTCTAGCTGAAAACAACACTTTGACACTATACAATGGCTTAATTGAGTTTGGGATATAAAATGCACTTGTAGGATGCTGCATTTGTAAACATATAAAAATCAGGACACTATAAAACACAAGAGGTAAAGCCATATTTAAAGAATTTGAGAGATATAGCACCAATATTCCACCAAGTTTAAATAAGTGTTTCATAGTAACAATTAAATTTAATAATGATAACAATATTTTTGATATAAAGTGCATGATATGTGATTATTTTTCAAGGTTGTTACCCTCAAATGCTTCTACATTACTAGGTGACCTAACCTGGTGAATCATTACATTGTCACTTACACAGTTAATTGTGTGGCTAATAGTGTTTTCAATGTTAATCAGCTAATTAGTAGTATATCTCCCTTGGACATTCCTATAAACAAGTATATTTATTTCCAATTGTAGGGGTTTGCAGGGATTCGATTGCTTTTAGGATTTCATCATGAACTGACATTTGTTAGAGAAACATTGGAAAACCACCAGGGAGTACTAGACAGCTGTTTCGTCCTAGTTTGGGACTCTTCAGCAATACATACCCTCCGAGGGTCGAACCCAGGTCCCTCCACTTACAAGGCGAGTTGTTAGACCATTCAGCCACTGGGACCCGATCCAATGACCACTCCATGAATTCCAACTTCAACCAATTCCTTATGTGGTGCAACCACTAGTGAATGTCATCGGTGGCGAGTATTTGTCTTTACACCCGACCTGCTCTACTTCGCTGGTCACGACTTCCCAGATAACTACCTAGCTGAATACGGCCACTCACTAGTGAGCATCAGATTGATGTTTGAGTGTTGGTTTGCAGGGATTTGACTGACTGATTTCAGGATTTTATCATGAAATGACATTGGTTGGAGAACTATTGGAAAATCTGGGAGTATTGTTTACTTTTGAGCTTGTAGGAGTTTACCCAGACTGTTGATCGCCTATCATATGAGGAATTTAGTATTTCTATTAATCAGATACACTTTTGAAAGTAAATATTTCATTTTTGTTCCATTGGAATTCATCTTCTGTCTTGAATATTACATGAACTGTTTACAAAGCTTTGTGAATGTTGCTGTAAAGTTGTTTTATGTTACGGTGAAAAATTTCTAGTAAATGCATCAATTTAGACTAAACATTAATCTTGAAAATATATGTATATGAATATTATCTGTGAATACTTCTAATTAACTGATATTTGATTTATCCACTCTTATTTAGGCATTTGGAAAACAGAAAGATTGAGCGGAGAAATATTTACTTTTCAATTAGATCCTCATCTCTGGCTCTACTCTGATATATACATAGCATTTTTATTACAATACACAATAGTTTACCAAACAAGTGGTGATATATTTGTTAACAATAATTAACCAGTGTCAAAATGTCAATGGGTTGATAATTAACGAAGAAAATCAATACACATTTAAAAGGTAGAAATGGATAGAATAAATTAATTTTACAAGAATAACACGTAATTAAAGATGAAGTGGTAAAAATAATTTTAAAAAAAATAATTTGGACAATTATAATTTAATAGGGGGAGGGGGGCGACGTAGTCCTGTCTTGTAACGATGTCTACGGTAAGGAAAGTGGCTGTACAAATTTCTTCTATACACATAGGCTTAGTTTCTTCTGGCGGATTCGTCTTCTACAGACAGCTGAAGCAATTGGAATCCGCCAGAAGAAACTAAGCCTATGTGTATAGAAGAAATTTGTACAGCCACTTTCCTTACCGTAGCCATCGTTACAAGACAGGACTACGTCGCCCCCCTCCCCCTATTAAATTATAATTGTCCAAATTATTTTTTTTTAAATTATTTTTACCACTTCATCTTTAATTACGTGTTATTCTTGTAAAATTAATTTATTCTATCCATTTCTACCTTTTAAATGTGTATTGATTTTCTGCGTTAATTATCAACCCATTTTGACACTGTTTAATTATTGTTAACAAACATATCACCACTTGTTTGGTAAATTGTTGTGTATTGTAATGAAAATGCTATGTATATTAGAGAAGAGCCAGAGATGAGGATCTAATTGAAAAGTAAATATTTCTCCGCTCAATCTTTATGTTATCCACTCTTGTTAGTCTGTAGAGTTCTTTTAAACATTGATTAACCTTAAATGAGTGCTAATTGGAATTAGGGTGGCATTCAAACCTACAAACTCACTCAGATAGGACAAGCTCTGTAGGCTAAAAGACCCGGTGGACCCAATTAAACAAAATAATATAATTTACAAAATACTTTGCAATGACTGTGAGTGAGGTCAACTACATAGGTCAAACTAGTAGGTCGGGGGTAATCAGATTGTCGGAACATAAGAATTTAGCTGAGGTAAGAATGGTTGACCCCGAGAAGATGAGCAATTTAGAAAAAATCTCAGCACTACATTGCACTGCATGCATTAACACACAATCACACAATAGGGTGGGAGAGGGTTAAGATTCTAAGAAGTAATCTATGTAGGTGGAGAGACAGATTGATTACTGAATCCTTGTTCATCGAGTCTACACCCAACACATGCAACAGAAATGACTCAATGCAAATACCAGAGATATGGAAGATATTATTACCACCAGTCAAATCAGAGGAGGATAATAAATAATCTTAAAATTCTATTTCAATTCACGTGCATCATAACATTCTAACAAGTTACTTATTATGACTATAAAAACACTCGTCTTATTTCCCATCTGATTGTATTTGATCAATAACACTCATATTATTATTTCTGAATGTATATTATCCCATACTGATTTTTATTCAAATATCTAGTCAGTTCCACACATGTATATAAATGAAGGAAAAAAGTTGTGTGAGTGAGTACCTTGATATGATTATGAGCAATAGTTTGTGCTCGAAATGTGGTCATCAGTTAATATTACTGTATAACACTGTGTGATTTATCAAAATAAAATCTTATCCATAATGGAGTTATACTCTACCACAGTGCCCAAGTTTTATACTTATATCAATAACGGATATATAATCGTTTACTATAAGAAAGTATAAACTTTTATAACTCACCATCATAAATACATACATAATTGATAGGATAGCATTAGCTAATCCAAAAACAGTGACAGTTGCTGAAATGAATAAAGCTATTGCTGCTGCAGCCAGTGTTGTAAGGCATAGAATTAATTCAAAAAACATAAACGCTTCAAAAGTCCGCTGTAATCCAGCCATCCAATAACATATTGGCATAAATAAGATTATAGGCAATACTTTAGTTGGTAATATATCACAGAGAATTTTTGAAAAAAAATATACAGAAACTTGATAATAACCACTTGAACTTTCATGTCTAAAAAGAAATCAGAAAACAAAAAAATAATAATATAAATAAACCGCTTTGAAATATTCACCTGTGGAAAATTAAACATTTGATCAAAATTTGGTGTTCAGCACTATTAGAAGAGAAACAAGAAAATCTTTGCCTAACGGTTACCGAGTAGATGAGTCAACTAGTTACCAAGTTACAAAATTATTTATTATTTAGAAGCCGTGGCTTTTTAATCTATGGCTTACACAATGAAATGACTGAGTCTAACTCGCCTCTCAAATGATAATTAGCAGGTCGGGTGTGAGGATAAATGCTCGCCAGCGATGACATTGGTTAGTGATCAGAATTCATGAACCATTGGACCAGGTCCCATTGAATTGATGATCGCCGTGTAACCTGAATGTCCTAAACTCGAACCCCGATGGGGTTCGTACTACTGAAGAGTCCCAAACTAGGACGAAGCGGGTTTCCCAATGGTTCTTTAAACGATGTCAGCTAATGATAAAATTCTGTAACCGGTCAATTCAAATCCCTGCAAACCAACACCTAGATAATAAAACTGTTTGGGATTTTTCAAATTATAGTGTACGCCACTTCAAGAAATTGTTACCAATCATCATCAGACTACTTGTAAGTAGTATGACTATTACTTTTATTATTTTATTCCTTTACGTTCCCAGTGGAACATAGAACTTCAAGCTAGAGCTTTGAAGTATCAGTAGCAGGGGTGGGATTGCTAGCCTCATGCCTAACCTTCCCTCTTTATCGGCTTAGCGAGGTAAAGGATTTCGTCGACTGGAGATTGAACCCCTTATTACGTGTATGGTTGGCAAGCGTTCTAGCGCTGAACCACTGACGCACAGTAATATAACTAATTAATACAAAAATAGGTCTGTAACTATCACTACCAGAGAGGTCAGTAATTCCGTAAAATTATTAGCCAGCAGCTTCATCATCATTCGACACTGAGTTTTGACCTTCCCCGTTTAATTAGAATGACTAAGCTTAATATAATGCCTCCATGCACCCATGGCACTTAGCACGCTGTCATATTGCATATGTTTATTCTTGAGCTATCTTTAGTCAACTAAACACACACTCCTGCTTTACAGGATCGATTCTAAAATATGTTTCGTATTTGAGACAGCCGAAGTGTTGTTCAGATTTGGCCTATGGACTCTCTTCTAGCCGATGTCGGATAAATACATCTGCATTATGGTATAGTGTACACATTCCATATTATCAGTTTATCATCCTGTTTGGAATATTTTGAGATTTATTTTGAATAAAATTTCAATTTCTAGTTTGTTTTTGAAAATAAGTCATTTACTAATCAAGTTATCAGACAACACAGGTATCTGCCCTACTATTCTCATTATTAAGCGTCTGTGGAGCAGTGATAGAATGCTCGCCGACCACGCATATGGTCCGGAGTTCGATTCCCGGCCGGCGCACTCCTATACCTCGCTAAGCCAGTAATAAGACTGGTAAAGAGGGGAGGTTGGGCATGGGGCTAGCAACTCTCGTAAAAATAAATACCTCTGCTACCGAAACTTCAGGCCTGTCGCTTGAAGTCCTATGTTCCACTGGGAACGTAAAGGAATAAAAAATTCTCATTAGTAATACGATTTTCATCTGGTGGTAAAAGTGAATTTTAAAGGAGAGCATAGAGTATAATAACGATGAAGCCTACATTTAGGCTGCCTGCTTAAATCACTGGGCCACCTAAATTTTCAATTATCTAAATGCATAATGTTTTAATCACCGGATTACCACAATGAGTCACAATTCATACTGGCGCACTGTTTCAAATAAGTTTCTTTGTAGTGGCTTTGGTCTTGGAAGTGAAGGCGCCAGTTCAAAAGGCTAGTATCTGGCAATCTGGAACAGTCCAGTGCTTTTCTTTGTGTGAACTTTGGTGTCCCTCTGGTACCGTGATTATTATTAGTGTCAGTAATAAGTTTGAGCATTGTGCAATAGATCAAATAAATTATAATTATATGTCAATAGTTTACAAACAATGATAAGTTCTTGTTTTGGATAATTTTGCTCGAAATATTACCAAAAACAAACACTTATCATTGTTTGTAAACTAGTGATAATAATAATAATTATTATTGATAAGGTGTTTCGACCATCATCTGTGTTCTGTTCCTCATTCACAGTTTGCTATAGTGTGCTTGATCTATGACTGGTTGGAGGATTCTGTCATGAGCTGACATCGGTTAGAAAACCAATAGAAAACAGCTGTCCAGTACTCCCAGTTGGTTTTCCAATGGTTCTCTAACCGATGTCAGCTCATGATGAAATCCTCCAACCAATCAAACGAAATCCCTACAAACCAATACTTGATAATTGATCCATGATTACCTGTATTGTCTATCGCATTCTACCTACCGCTGGGAATTTTTCGTAGGAAATACTGAAAGAACACTGTAAAATATTACTGGAACAAGCTTCTGATGGAACAATACAGCCTCAGATGATGTATTATCGACGATTATGGCATTTGAACATTCTGCACAAGGAGTAAATACATTTAAATGAAACATGCTGTGTCTACAGACGCATTATTCAGGAAGAAGCTATCACATTATTATGATTATTAAGTACAGCTTGAATTGGACATTTGATTTTTAGTCATTTTGCACGATATTATTTAACTGTCAGTCAAATTTAAACCAGAGATTGACTTTGTCGGCTAAAGGACCCAATAGATCCGATTAAGAAAAATAATATTGTGGTGGGAGTTGTCTGCAAGCCAAAACTGTAGACAACAATTTACGTCACTGTTTACGTCCCGAATCGGTGTCATGCGAAAAAAAACAATAACAAAGCTTATCCTTGAGGAACTCAACAACCAACCACAGCAGATTTAACCTGTGTAAATATGATTCACAGATATATGACTTGATTTGCTGAGAAACGGCCACAAAGAGATAACAGAATAACCTTCAGCAAGAAAACAACCAATCAGAAGACGTTGCTTCTCTGCTAATAATAACACTAATAATAATGTACATAAAAATCTATAAATACCTTTTGACTTTCTCAATAAACGATCTGTTGCCTGGCCCTTGTCTTCTATCGTTACAATATAATTTACCAAATACCATGTAATGACTGTGAGGTCAATTACATAGGTCAAACTAGCAGATCGGGGTCAACTAGATTATTGGAACATAAAAATTTGGCTAAACCTAGAATAATTGACCCTGTTAAGTTAAATAACCTAGAAAAAACTCAGCCATTGCACTGCATTCGTATGTATGTAATCACAAAATACAGGGGGTGGAACAGGGTGAGAATAATAAAAAGTGATATAGTTAGGTGGAGAGAGAGAAAGAGGTTAATCACTGAAGCTTTGTTTATCGATTCAACATCGCACACGTGCAATCCGCATGATGGAACACCTATACCGGAGATATGGAAAGTGGTAACAAACAACAAAGTGAAGCTGGAGAGGTCTAAAGAGAGAAAATATATGAAAGACAAACTGTATAGTGCACACCACCTAACTGTGATAAGTATCGATAATGTTTAAAAGCACGTGTAACTCACCGGTACATCTCACTAGAGTTTACTTGTTAAATTCAAACAGACGAATAACTATACCGTCACACAAAAATAGAAACTGGTCAGTATATAAGCTAAAACTTACATAAAAAGTGCACGTTCTTTAATAAACAATTCAATTGTCGCCAAATTTACAAATATCACTTGTAGTGTACAGAAAAAGAATAGTCCAGTACGATTTTGTATACCAGATTCTAAGGAATCATTCATTTGAAAATAGACTATACCCATTGATAATGCAAAAAATAAATATACAATTGTTTGTATTACAGATGCCAATGGATCTCTTAATAGATTCAGCGTTGTTCTCCAGCATACTTTATGCACTTGTCTGAAATATGGCGCTGCAAATGAAATATCCACTGAACGATCTTTGAATTTATTCGTACCATTTTCATGTTCCTCTAATCGGTTGGCTATTGAGCTAACTTCTTCGAGCACCCTTGAAACAGAAATTTGATATAGTAGTAATAATAATAACAATAATTAGCATTAAGGTAATTGGAACTTTCCTAGTGATCCTGACCGTGATTGGTTATTCCTTGAAATTCTCTTAGGATGTTATTGATTTACAGTTTAATTGGTGGATGGTGACTAGCAGTGGAATCCAGGATGCGCATTTCGTCCCATTTGGGACTCGTCACTGGATGTACCTGCAATCCCCAGTGAGTGATGGTGTCCCCACCGAGGCTCAAACCCAGTGACCATAGTTTCAAACGTCAAAGCGTTATCCCCTAGACCACTTGGGCCACGAGAGCCACCTCTTGTGCAACGGGTTATATTAGTTATTTAACTGAATTTAAGATTTTCCCGTCAATAGATTTGACTGAAGTGCTCGGTCACATGTTGACATATTGGCTTCTTGTGCAGATGCTTCAAAGATGTCTGGGCATGTAATTAGAGGTTAATTGGTGGATGGTGACTAGCAGTGGAATGGAGGATGCACGTTTCTTCCTATTTGGGACTCGTCAGCTGGATGTACCTGCATTCCCCAGTGAGTTATTTATTTATGTTGATATTGATAGTATAGTTACCCCAATGCTTAACCTTTCGGTTGTATGACTTGATAGACATGTTAATATGTCAAATTTATCAGTTAGCGATGACTAATATACCTCAGGGGAAAACTAATTATAGCTGAGATTACCATGAAAGACGAGAATTTCATCCTTGGAAACTTTTCAAGGCCAACTTTTCACAGTGAAGTTCGTGCTGAAATTATTGTTCAGAATGACAACACACAACAAAACCATAAATATCTACCTAAGCTGCAAATCTTCTGGATTATTTTAAAATCTTACGATTGTTGTGTTATTCAATTACTCAAGTTGAAGCGATGCAGTGGGATTTGAACTATGAACTCATTGGTTAAAAGTTGTGTGCAAGTCAATGAACTAGGCTTCCTTAATACAATAAAAGCCTTTTGTATATATAACAAATCTATGTCAATTTTGAACTGAATTACAACATAATGATGCAGATTTTTAATTCACTGGTATATTATTCATATATAAGTAAGAGTTAAGCTAGTAGAAAAGAATATATACATGCGATGTACATACCGTTGAGCCATTTCAGAGTTCTGCCATTCATTAATGAGCTGTTGACCAACTAAATGCATCTTTTCTTGTGTATCATGATGGTCGACAATATCTAAAATAATAAAGAAAAAAAGAAAAATTAGAATTCCATTAAATTATTTTACCCTATTTAATGACAGTTGGTCTGTGTCTCACAATAATTTAGACACTGCTTTTGCGAATCAAAAGCTGTAATGTGTGTGTGTAATTCTAAACTTCTCACCTGGAGTTGAATGCACTGTGAAGCATGATCAGTTGAGGAATAATGAGCTATATACTGGTGTTTAACAGCATTCACCACATCATATCTTTGTGAATAACAGATATTTCATCCCCTCTCTGAAGTAGGACACAAATTAGACTGGTACTACAATAGAATGAATTAGTAGAAGTTAGAATTCATGGGCCATTGAATACGGTCCCAGCGGCTGAATAGTATACGAGCTTGCTTGTAACTGAGAGGTCGTGGGTTCGAACCCCAGTGGGTGCGTACTGCCGACGACTCCCAAACTAGGCTGACGAAACAGCTGTTCAGTACTCCCTGTGTGTTTTCAATGGTTCTCTAACTGATATCAATCCGTGATCAACTCGTAAAAATAAGGATGAAACATATTATCAGCTATTTTTAGCTTGTAGAAATTGTTACCAAAACTCCTAACAGTGTTAATTTTATATATGTAGAGAGAGTTGATATCTACTAGAAGCAGGATTATATACTAACTAGTGCTAGATAGCAGTTTTGTAATTATTTGGTTTTCTTCAGCAGTGCAAACTAAACTCCTACAAGGATAAAGGAATTGTAAAAGAATTCCAGTAAACACATCTTTTAAATCATTTCTCAAACATGATTTTTCATTACATCTTAGTATTAGTGACTTAATAGTACATCTGTCTGGTTCTTTAAATTAGGATCAACCAATTTGCTTGATAATTGACGATCATTTTCATTGTATATGCATAGCAACTAGTTGTTCCCCTAACCGCCGCTAGTTATTTTTGTCATCAATGTGAATAAAACGAGAACAGCAGATTTTTTGGGAATTGTAGGTACAGATATCTGTCCAACACTAACTGTTGTGAACAGAAACCACATTCACATGTCAATGTCATTCGTGCTGAGTGGCTGATAAAATTACGTCAATCGTGAAAGTTAACTGTTAAGTTCAACAGGTTACGTCTTCACTGTCTATCGTAAATCACCATTTAGTTTACTTGCCCTTGTAACCAACTGTAATCTTAAACTTCTTACCGTATAATTCATACTATAGGGAAACATGCATAGGATTCTTAAGCCTATCTATCTATCTATCTGATTTTACACTGGACCAAGCTGATTATCAATCTACCTTGAAGAAGATAGCCTCTTTCATTTGCAATCGGCTGTTCAAGATAATTATCTCTCATGAATTCACACTTACAACTTTGTTAAACGTAGAAGAAAGAGGTTTCTGAATTAGTTTTAAAGGATCACCGATATCTGTAATTAGAGAATTCTAAATGAAATCAATAAATGCGTCGGTGATTCAGTGGTGGACTCCTCGGAAGCCGTGCAATTAGTCTGGGTTCTATTCCCGGCTGGAACACTTCCAAGCCTCGACCATTTTACTAGCCCATAGTAAGCTCACAAAAGAGGGAAGGTTGAGTGTGAAGCTAGTGATCCTACCGCGTATAAAAACAACACCAACGCAACTGGAACTTCAGATGCTTCAGGATCCATGTTCCACTCAGAAAGCAAAGGAATCAAAAAGAAAGAGAAACTATTGAAGGTTAAAACAGGTACTTCAAAGATGCAAGCTTTAATTGGTTAGTGAATCTGCAGTGGTGCAATGCATAAATATGAAATGTTAACTGCGAAATATTAAACGATCGAAACTGATGTTAAGCATTAATGAAGAGAATTAATTAAACCAGGCGGTAATCAGTTATTATGCATACCTTATCTGAATGACTTCATGTTATCCAAACGTTACTATCAAAATGATCGCCTTTTTTAAGTATTTTTGACTAAGCTACCAACAAAATGGTAGTAATTTTTGCATTTCGCATAGTTTTTACAGTATTGAAAATGGACCGAACTGAAGTCAAAGATCAGGCATTATTTTATTCTTAATAGTTATGTAGTCCGTTGTTAAGTTTTACAACTATTGGCTGTTCAACTGTAATGGTTTACTCGAACACGATGCAGACGGGTAATCAAGTATTTCACTACTTGTTCAATAACATTTCCATCTATACTTGTTCATACATTGTAGTTACTAAATTGGTGCGTTGGTGGTTCAGCGGTAGACTGCCGGCCAACCACGTAAGTGGTCCGGGTTCAAGTCCCGGCCGGATTATAATCCCCAGAAGGAGAGGAAGTTAGTTGTGAGGCTAGCAACCCCACCCCTTAAAACTGAAACTTCAAAGCTCCAGCTTGAAGCATCATATTCCACTGGGAACTCAAAATAGTGAAAAAAAGAGTTACTAAATTGCTGAAGTAATGTAAACATTACTTTGATAAATAACAGGGCTGAAGTGTCTCATTTAGTTGAATATCCACGTACACCATGGTGTCTGTTGACATAATGAAAACCGCTGATTCCATGGCTAAATTTATCACAGTAAATTCTACGTCAATAAAAAGACAATAGAGAAGGTCAAAACAGGTAAGTAGCCGTTTTACCTAAAAATCCGAAAAAAGACATGCAGTGTGACAGAATAACACACAAGAAGCCACTAGCACAGTATGAAGTTGACTAGGGTTATAGGCTTTTTACTTACCTTACTTTGTGTGAATTTACTTCACTGGTATATTTCTACACATCTGTTAACGGCATCCGTAAATCTAGTTACCTGTCTTCATTTTTGCCAGGTGAACTGAATCAAGTCAACACTACACTTTTAATATGTTGGTTATAGGAGATTAGAGACATGCCACAAGTAGATAAACTTATAGTGGTTTACTTCGACAACAGTTTACTGCTTCCCAGTTACTTTAAGAAACAACCTATCAGATAAGCTGAACTGCCTTTAAAACTAATATGCACTCAGAAGAATATCTGGCAATTATATTACTGCATGGAACCAAAGTACCATCTAGTGAGTTGCAGCTGAATTACTGAAAAATGATATATACATTCAAAGTTGTAATGTTGATTTTGCCCGTGACTATCTGCATCTATTAAGCTCTCAATAGTTCTTGTTGAAAAAGGTTGTCTTTGTACTATCTGTAGACCATTTGGCCGACAGATTCTTATTTACTGGTATTAGATGGTTGGAGGCAATCTCCAGGAAACCTTGGACCTAGGTTTCGTGCTAGTTGGCACCCATCAGCATGGTGGCCACATTGCAAGCTGGACTGATCGAATTCAGTCTGCAGCGAAGATAGGACTAGACGCATTACACTAGTTACTGCCTAGTGTGCAATCAAAAAATATTTTTATTTAATTTTGTGAAGACCAAATATAACAAATTCCTGTTGGAATACATCAAAGCGCATGATGTTCCTGTGAACCAGTATGCACATCACTGAATTACTGTTTATTTTAAATGTATTTGGTATGCAAGAGATGTTCTCTAAGGATGTACCGGGTGTATTGGAGTACCAGTTTTCAATGGTTCTCTAACTGATTTCAATCCGTGGTCAAACTTGAAAAACAAATCTAATCCTTACAAATCAACTCTTGAAAATTAATCTGATGCTTGCTAGTTACTTGCTACAGGACGGAGTTTCCTGGTAGTTCTAGTGAGAAGTCATGACCAGTGAGGTCCATTCAGTCAGGAGTGGGATGGAGTTCCCTCCGATGACATCGGTTGGAGGTCGTGCTAAACTCTTCACGAATTAGTAGAAGTTAGAATTTATGACCTGGCCATTGAAAAATCGGATCCCATTGGCTGAATGGTATACGAGCTCGCCTTGTAACCAGAAGGTCCTGGGTTCGAATCCCGGCGGCGGGTACATACTGCCGATGATTCCCACACTAGTATTTTGTTTTGTTTCACATGTCTGTTAAACTGAAAGGTTTTCAGTCTAAGGTTGATGAAATAATTTGGGTAAATTTAAGCGGGAGTTCACTACAGAATTAACAAAATGAATAAAACAATTAGTTCCCTTTATGAATTTAGATAAAGCAATAAGAAGACGTAATTTGTCTGAATCGTGTAATGTATTTGCGCAACACATTTCGAACAATCTGATCACACACGGACTTGTCATAGGAATATATATGAAATTAATGAAGAGGTGAGAGATGAGAAAATAGACGTAGGTCAAGTTAAAAGGATATATTCAAGGTCAAAATAACAACAGATATTTATATGTCGTACATTGGGAATTTATCGGAGGATTTAATCAAAAATGTGCCACTTTATAGAAGGTATGTAGATGATATTGTAATCATCAGTGATAAGTTTTGTTCTGCCATCTCAATTCTAAATCTAATGAATGAAGTTCAGAATAGCATATCACTTACATCTGTAGAAGAGGGAGATAATTGTTTATCTTTCCTAGACATATTGCTTAGTCGACGGCTTGATGGGTCAATAAAGAGATCTGTTTATAGAAAACCTACCTGGACAGGAAAGTATCTTAATTACCACAGTTTCTGCCCTGTTCGACATAAAAGAGCCTTAGTAAGGTGCCTCCTCAGTAGAATCCAACGAAATGCACTGAAGACACACTTGATGAAGAAGAAAGAAAGTTGACAAAAACTCTGGTTGATAACAATTATCCAGACAGGTTCATCAGGAGTCATAAGGTAGTCAGATCACCAAGACCCACTCTCCAACTCGCCCCTAAGAAAGACGTGTACATCAGGCTACCCTATATGGG